AAAGTTACCGAAGATATAAAAGAAATAAATATAATAAATAAAATATATGAAATAAGTAAAATATAATAGATATATAAAATAAAATAAATAAAAAAAATATATTGTATAAAGAAATATATGCTATAGATGACATAGATGATATAGAAAACATATATGATTTCTTAGGAATCAATGTCATCCTTTAGATCATCATCATCTATGTCTTCTTTCATATAACACTAGGAATCCAATCATAATGAAATGGATTTTCTAGTTTAAAACATCAAGAGAAGACAAAAATGGTGAGCAATACTACGTGATATTTAGTTTACAATGATACTTTTCATAACCTTATTTTTTGATTTAGCCGAAAAGACAATCCACTAAATTAAATGATTTTGACAATAATTAGATTAAAAATGCACAAGAGTGTAATCCTACTGAATTTGATATTACATATCATAAATTAGACCCAGCAAAGATGTGAACTCTCGAGTTCTCTGATCGTATTATTAAAAAAGTAATTTATGAGTATATACGAAAATTGACACACAAATCTTATTTGTATTCGTTTATAGTCAACGATATTGATGTAACTACTGAATCATTATTTTTCAAAAAAGAATGGAAAGAGATCACCATCTCAAAGGTTAAAACTAAGCTGAAACTCGAACCTTCTTATGTAGAATTATTAAAAAAGTACATGACTGACAACATTAATAAATTATGAAAAGTATTTTCTGAACTGCTTATACCAGAATTTGATCGAAATCTTCATTTTGATCTAGACTTCATTAATTTTACTTATTAAGGGATGTTGTTTTTGTGAGAGAAGGATATAGATCCCTTTGACTCAACAAAATTAGAGGGATGGTATGAAATGTGTGTTTAGAGTCGCTTAATTGACCTGACCTTTAACAATTTGGACATTAATTTAGTGCAAGTAAAAGGGATGAGTTTAGCATCTAGCAACTGGAAGAATATTGAAAGGTCAGTAGCTGATCGAAAAATTATTAGTCGAAAAGGGGATGATGTTTTCAGATAATATAAGAAGCGTATAGAATTTGATGCAGTAGAAGCAGGACACAAATGGGAAGAGAAGAACGGTACTAAATATTTGACTGATTCATTAAAGCTATGTAAGATGATGAAGGATATGTTAACACAACTTTCTATTGAATGTAATGGAGTAGAAGACCTTGTAAGAAAAATACAAGTTGTTGGAATTCTTAATGGGGCTAACATGATTCAGGTCATTACAATAGACTACCCAAAGGGGTATATTTCTCATGTTCAATGTAAAAATATCCGTGAGGTTGCAGGACGTTTATCCAAATCTGATCTGCTTACTTTAGTTTTGAAAGAGGTATTATGCGTAAAATCTATCATCAAACAGACACTAGACATAATAAATAAGAAGAATAATGTTAATATTAGAATATTTTTCAATGATTCAGATGAACAAGATGGATCTCGCACGCCTCCAAATGTTACAACACCTCTAACTTTCACAACTCTGAATTCAGATTATACTAATAATGTTATTAATGAAAGAAAAGAAATAATAATAAATATTACTAAATAGTTGATTATACCAATGTATTTTATTATGGATACACAAAATATGTAGAAAATTTTCTGAAAGCTGTAATAATAATAATAAAAATCGCTCACTACATCACACTATTACACCAAGTAGATACGCTTATCTTATATTGGGTTTTTTGACCTGTGACGTTATATATGTGTTATTGATAAATATAATTTTATGTGTGAACAATTATTCATATACATGTAACTTTATTTTTTAGGAACATGCACCTGCTATTAATATTTTATATAATGAGATTGATTTGCATCGAAGCTTTCACATCAATAGGGCAAGAGCTCTTGCTATGAATATTGATATTCCGAAAGTAGATCAACGCTTGTTATGTGAATTTGTCCCAAAAGAATTTACCACAGAAAAGGTTTTAAGAAAGAGGAAATTACTCCTCTCAAATTAAAAGATTTCAGTTATTTCTTTTAACTTCTTATGTATATTAGCTTATCACTGACCATAAATATTGTGAATAAGCGGGCTATAGGCAAAGAAAAAATAGCACAGATAAAATCCATCCCTTTAGGTTTCATCTTAAATCTAACTAAGAATGAAAAGGATTATATAATAGCCAAAATCTTAAAACAAAAGGTTTTTTAATATACTGCGTTATTTCTTCTGCATAATTAAGTCAAGCCTGGACATTGTGTTCAGACTCTATTACTAAAAAAAAACAGAATTTTGTTCACGTGTATTCTCAAATATATAATAAAGCATTTGCATATTCCGCTCATATCAGGGGTTTATTTTTTAAATGTGTATAACTAATTGCTAAATTTCATGAAAAATAATTTGCTGAGCTCAGATATCGTGTCCAGATTCTACCATTAGATAGTTATGTATAATAACTTACAAAGTGCCTTAATGATTGACTATTTTAGGAGATAAATTTTACCAGATGCTGATCCAGCTTCTGCTCAATTTTGACAAGCTCAGACAAGTACATGTATTTTATTTATAATCATTTTTCTGAATTCCCAATATACTTATCCAGCTAAAGAAAAAATCTGAAATCTGATTAGCTGATCATCTTGTGATTTCAGTGACTAGCTAGTATTAAAGAAATGTTTGAAAACTATCGTAAAACTGATAGGAAGCTAGGATAATTCCTATGATACAATATACGTCATACTCCTCTGATTAATGAATCTGTGAATAATTTAGCTATTATATTATCTCAAAACTAATTTAACCGAATCATGCTATCAGAAAATCTCTTACATGCATGTGAATATGCATATAACCAGATGTGAACCTTATATAAACCTCTGATAATATGCTTGTAATTAAATAAAAAAAAATGAATCCAATATTTTATTATAATATACTTGCTACAAACTGCTATAACAAGAAATATTCGCTAAAAACGTTATATATCACTAAAATTACTATAAGTCTTATTTATTGTCCGCAATCACATATAATCATCAAATATGTCTAGACTAATGGTTAAAATCATTATAGACAGGATTTATAATAAAACTGTGCCTAAACCCATCAATCTCCGCCCTGAATATGATATGAAACATGTTTTTAACTGTCATCTTCAAACTAATAACTATCAGTATGAAAAAGTAGTTAAAATAGAAAAGCAATACGATTATTTATCTATTATTAGACCTCATGAAACACCTCAACAATAGGCTAATCATATAAGAGGTTCTCTGCAAGAATTACTTTCTAAGCGAAAATATAGTTTATATCATGTATACAGCCTTTCGCTTTATTTAGGCAAGTAAAATCTAAAACATACTGTATTAATAGTGAGTTATATGAAGACTACTTTAGATATTGTAGACTTAGTATCTATAAAAGTCAGATGATTATCTGTTTCAAATGCTGAAAATTGATAAAGATTACTGAAGTAAAGCCTAGAAAAGTATATTATGATAGATGATGCAGATAGGCCTATGAAGTTGAGTCTGAAGATTTGATGAAAAATCATTGAGATTGCTCTTGCTTTAAGGCTAAGACCACAACTATGGCAGAAAATATGATATCAAGTGTTCTGGAGCCAGCTTATATTTTATCAACTACTTATCAGCCATCAAATTGCAAAAGCGATACAGGCAAAATATTTATCTCGTCTCAGTATACAAAACAGAAAAACTTACTACCATCTATAAACCATCTTAGTCAGCTTATATTAAGATTGAAAAATGAGACAAAAATCACATTCGTTTAACATTCTTTATTTTTTGCGTTATATAATCTGCATGCATGATTACCTGATAAAATTGTGAAATGTATCCACCTACTGTAAGGTTAAATCCTATATAACAATTTTAATAAAATATTTTTCAAGAAAGATCCTGAATATTATCTTAATAAAATATTGTCCTGCATATATGATATAATAGTGATACACTGCCAATCATTTATGCAAGTGTGACTATCTGCTTGTGAACAAAATAATTTCATATATAAATCAATCCCTCTTTCAGTCATAAACCTGCATGAGAGAATCTTTCTTAATAATAATATATCCAGACAGATGAAAAAAAAAATCTATATATGTATTACCTCCAATATCTTTCTAAATGTCAAGATCTTCAATGCATATTTTCACATATCCTTATTCTCTAATGCAAAATTTTGACGTAAAGATCTGTTGCATATTCTCCTGTCTCTTCCCTCTAACATGAATACAAGCCTAAAGAGAACGTAAATAGAGTCATTTAAAAGGGTAATATACTGAAGTAATGACTATTATAACTTTTTTTTTTATTTTTACCATGCCTGCTGATTTATATACTAAAATTTACAATTTCTTGTTAAATTCTGAGGAAGAGGACATTACTGCTGGGTCTATTATCTATCAAGGAATCGAAGATAATCTCTGAATATCTCAAAATGAGCTAAAAAGTATTATTGAGCAGGCTGTTGCATTTGTAAAGAATTAATATGATCGAGATTCCTCACGCTATACTACTCTTCTCAAAATTTTACCTGAGGTAAGATATTTCTAAAGAAAGTAAAAGAGAATTTATTTAAGTGATGAATAACGCAGACTGATACTATTCTGAGGAAGAGAGTATAATAGACTAAATATTCTATTAGTCCACTCACAGGATTTTTCCTTCGGCAGTGTGAAGGGTAGTTAGGCTATAGTATATGCTTAATTTAATGTGATTATTTTAGTATTGCATAAAGTCTTTATTTAAGTATTAGAGTAGCTAACTATGTGAGAATAGGGCTTTATTTTAATCTGACAGCGTATGTGCTTTTGATAATTATATATATATATATTCAGAACTAATTAAGTATATGTTTGCGTTAGTTTGAAATTGGTTTTAAAACAGTTTATAGTTTATGTAATATCAGTGCGGTAAAGACGAATAGAGAAAAGCCTCTTAGTTCAGATAAAATTGGAAAAAATATCAAGGCGCTAAAGGGCAAACTTAGAAAAAATACATCACAGCTTTACTACTATTTGTTTTCAGGTGTAAATAAGGTGTCTGTTTCTGAGTTAACCTAGAAAGATCCTCTAGCTAACTAAGTAATTAGCGATGATTTAGATCTGGTGAAAAAATTGCCAGAACAGTTAAAAAAATCTTTTATGGTAAATTGTTTTTTTTTATTATATAGTTATATGTGAAGCGTCTGATTTGAAGAACCCCTCTGGCTAACAGCTGATATTTTTCAATCTTGACATCATTTAATTTATGCTATCATTAGAAACTAATAGAAGATATGGTTCCTTCATCATTTTCACAAAATATACGGTAAAAATATGAAGAATTTATGGCTAACTTTATTGAGAGTGATATGAACATTTTACCACAAAATTTTCGCATAATAGTGAGTGAAAAGAATCAGATGGGAAGCTTGCAGAAGTCACATCAAGAATTTTGGATTCTTTAAATGATTCATAGAATAATCTTGCATTTAATTCTGAGTTCACGAAATCACAAAATGAAGGTACTTATGTGACAAACGTAATTGTGCCTGCTATTCAGGCCACATTAAAAGGTCTTCCTTTAGGGAAGTCATTTTATATCAGCATATGAGTTATAATATAATTAGGAAAAGTGATATTTCGAAAATTTAGACCGTCACTAATGTTCTTCTTCTATTAGTGCTGAACGCCAAAATTCAGCTAGTGCAGATAGGAAAGATGAAGGGAGAACAGAAAGACAGCCAGATATCATATTTGTGATGAAGCATAATGAAAAAAAATACAAGCTCATATATGTTGAAAGTTCACGTTTATTTTACACATCACAGAAGAAAATTGATGATAAAATAAAATTATGGCGTGAAACTAATGATAGAATGTAATGGGTTCATAAATTATCTGGGTCAGATAAAGGTGAATTCAGAATTATTGAAATGCAAGTTGTCAGATGAATAATTCGCTTAAATGTTCTCATTAGAAATATAGAAAATATTCATCGTTATTACTATCTTTACAAAGCAAAAATTTTTATACAACTATCTGATCCATCTTTTGTAATAAATTTCATAAAGATTTTACTGATTTTACGGAATATTCTAATAGTTAATATGTCTTTACTACTTAATGCACCCTCAGTTAGATTTAAAAGAAATAAAGGCAGTTCAAATGTAGATTCTAAATAGATAGGATTATATATGTAATAAATTTATTATTATTTTTTCTGTATCAATAAAGTGACCCTGATGGTTAATTATTATTATTTTATATATTCATCCATATTTTTTGTGTGAGGAATGTGCATTAGATAATAAAACTTTTCTTGATAAATCAGGTTAATACAAATAAGAAATTGCAAAGCGAGATTGAGGACTTAAAGTTGCAGATGCAGGAGGCAGAAAAAGAACTGGTATCTATGAAGTCAGATTCTATTTATTAGCCAGAATACTTTTTCCTTGTACTTTTACAGATTCTGGTCAAGATCATACGCTGAGAATCAATATAAACTAAAGGTTCTCCCATTCCAATTTTTATAATTACGAAAAAAGTAAGTATCTATGAAGTAAAATTCTACTCATTAGTTAAGGTGCTTTTTTTTCTTGCGGTTAACAAAATATGTTCTTTGAATAAATATCCTACTTTTTAAAATACTATAAAGTATTACGAACTATGCAAATTAGATAAAATTATACCTTTAAAGAAACAAAATCTATTTGCTTCTAAATTTTCATTTAGACTAGAAGTTGTAGGCACCTCTGAATCTGGAAAAACGCGCATTGTAGTACATCTACTTCTAGGAAGTAAATATCCAAAAATCTATTTATGGATGTCTAGTGAAAAGCATGGTCATAAAATACCAAAAGGCGGGAGCAAAAATTTTGGTAAAAGGTATATTTCGTATGATGATCTAATTATTATTGTGCAACACCAAGATGAAAAATTATGGAAAGCAGTACAATGTTTTTATGAATTTATAGCCATAGATAAGCAAGTTCCATGGTATGAAAATGTGAAATTCAAGCTGATTGCGCCTGAAGAACTATCTAATATTACATCTTTCAAAAGAACTGGCTGATCTACTGTTATAGTCTTTAATGATCTTGCTAGAAAACCTTTGGTAATTCAGCTAAAAATTGTTCCTTTTTTTAGATCAGGTAGATATGAAGGAATTAGCTCAATTTATATAGCCTAACGTTTTATGAAATCCATCAAAATATACGCAGAAATTTTAAATACATTTCATTGCATCGTGGATGTGAAATATTAGATAGTATAAAACGAATTTTTAAAAATATGTATGATGATTATGAGTCTCTAGCAAAAATAATTTATGAGGTAATAAAAAAGCACTTTGTGATTATTGATATCTGAAGACCATCTGATAACCCCTTATCAATTAGATTTAGATGGGACAAACCTTTAGCTGAATTCAGAATAATTCATGCTTTGTGCCTTCATCTATATCTAAAAGACAAAGTTTCATAGGAGGTAGTCCTGTTTTTTAGTTCTTCTGCATATTGGAATAGGAATCCATAACTCTGATTTCTATTTAAGGGTATTTTATAGTTTAAAATATTTTTTTTTTCTTCATTAGAATATAGATGAGAGAATATATATCATAGGATATATATGATTAGTAATACTATTACGAAAATGATTGCATGCTGAAAAAAGGAGAAATTAGGTAATTTCAGGGTTGTTTCAGAACTAGTGATGCTGTTATCTTTCTCTAGTTTGCTAACACCTCCAAGTACTTCAGACTCGCTGAATATTTTTAGGATCTGCTTGGCTAAATGAGTATTAGTCTCTTGAAGAAGGATCTCTTTTTCTAATAATGTCTTTTGTACTGAAGACAAATTATCTCTCATCTGCATTGATTCTTCTTTATTATTTATCAATTCTATTTGTGTTGAGGTTAATTTATCTCTCAACTGCATTAATTCACCCTTTTTTTCACTTAATTTATCTTCCTTCAGATCTAAGTCAACATTCTTTAGCTCAACGTTTTGCCTTGACTGCGTCAACTCTCATCTAAGAGAATCCATTTCTAATAAGTCTTTCTGAGCTAAAAAATACTTCATTTCTAACTCTTTTATTTCTGATTGGAGAGCTTGTATCTCTTCCAATTTTGTAGATATATTGTTCTCAGCTTTTGTAAAAGAAATATCTTTATGGATGATCTGATTTTTGAATTTTCTCACCTCATCTTTAAGCTGACATATATGTTCTGAAAGCCTTTCATTATTTTTTATTAATAGATCACATCTACTACCAAGCTGATTACCATAATTTATAGCAATTTCTCAATCTTGATTGGTATATGCAAGTTGGTTTTTAAGTTCAGTTTGATTGGGTGGATACTGATTAGATGGTAAATCTTCAAGTTTATTGCTAAATACAAGAAATATCCCATTATTTATCTCATTTAGCGTATGCACATTTGCCATATGAATTTATTTGAAAGTAAAAAAATCACCCTAAAATATTTTTTGACACATCTAGATATAATGATTAGCTAAGATAACTATTTTTTTTCCAAAAAAAAGCAAGAGTTAGGAATCAATATTAAACTAATAACAAACCAATATTCAATCAGTTTAAAACAAATATGATATTTGAAGCGTATACATCTTAAACCGATTTCTATTTGGATCAAGAGTAAATCATGCTAGATGGTTAAGAAATTGGAATTCTTATATATATGAAACCAATATATTACTAATATCAGACTAAGGTCAAACATATTGTAAATAAATTTTCTACAAGTTTTTTATGGTATCATATTGATCTCATTATTAATAAACTATAAGCAAAAAACAAACAGCCTGTATCCGTAAATTTTTTAGATCAGATACCACCTGCTTGTCACCTAAATCTATTGAAGAAATCAGAAATGCTCAGAATAATATTTTAGATGCCTGACATATTATGTGTAAAAATATTATATAGGATCAATAATATATCAAAAAATTATTGATAATAAGAGGCCTTCAGAACTAATAGAAGAATGGTGTAAAATTATAAATTTTATTAATATCTCTAGTCTGACTTTAGAAAATAACCAAGAATCTTCACAGTCAGAAGACGTAGAGCAGATCTCCTTAGAACTGCAATACAATGCTGATACTTCTTCCTCTTCTACACTAGAAAATAGAATTATTCATACAGAAGACGCTAGTAAAAATTCTATTAACCTGAACACAGTAACTAATGGGCAAAAAGATAGGAGTAGTCAAAAAAAAAGATTAATACAAAATCAAAAGACGAATCTTCTTTAAAGGATACATCTAAAAGGAAATCAGATCTTAGAAAATTATTAGATATTACAGGAAAAATTGTTATGCATCTATCCTTATTTCTATAAGCTGAGAGTATCTTTTCGCTAAAACTTTACCTGCATTTAATATTAAGTCAAGCCATTTTTCAGTTTTCAAGAAACACTTTTCAAGCTCTTTGCACTTTTTTTTAAGTCCTTCTTACTAGTCAGATTAGAAGAATTAACTAAAATCTGAGAGCCAAGAGATGCTTCGCATAATGATTCCTGATCTTCTTTTGGTAGATCCTTGATTACTGAAGCCTTGTTAAAGGTTGGGATAATATATGCCTTTCTATGTAACTTTATGTAAAACTGGTTTTTATTTGGCTCAAGAACGTCTTGAATCTTTTGAATATTTGATATACCAAAAAATAGCATTAGTTCTGTTTTACCATTATCAATATGAACAAAATTTCTAATAACTGTGACTGTCTTACCTTCTTTATCTTTTAAGATAACTGGCACGTCTGTAAACCATCCTAATGAATCAGTGATATACTTGGAATTGTTCTTTATGGCAAAATTAGATGGTTTATCAGCTTTCCATCTAAGCGCCTTGATTGCTGGGTCATTTAAACCACCTAATTTACTGCCGATATCTAAAAAGATTTAGAAATAGTTAAGTCATTTATATTAGCATTTAGATATTGTAAAGATGACAACTACTTATCTGATTTTTTCGATTCCTACTCCTGAGTCTTTCGAGATAAGCACATTTTTTATATCAGTGATGAGAGCTTAGACAATAGCTGATCGTACGTTTTAAGTTGACTAGATTCTAGAGGTAAGATTGCATTAGTATCACTGGTCAACTTATGCGAAGCGTCTCTCAGCTCATTTATCTATTTTTTTTACCAGTGGATCATATCCAGTCCACATATTATTGTTCTCATTATAACCATCTCCATAATTTTCATCACCATCTGAATCAGGAGGAACTATTAGTTTAAGAGGCGTAAAATATGACTGAGTAAAATTAGATTACGCTATCAGTCTTTTTGGATAACTTTCTTTGCTATAGCCCGTTTTTTCACAAATTTCACATTTTTGTATGTAAGCTTTTTTCTGAAATAGATCAGCTAACTGATTTACATTATTCTGAGTTTTTTCAAGTCCTTCTTCCATCCTATCAATTCTAGTAGAATTATTATTTCGCTATAGACGAGATCTTTGAAAAGGTTATACAGGATAATCTAAGTCTAAATCTTTCTTATTAAGTAGACCTACTTCTTTTAAGTATTCGGCTACATAATAATTCTTGAAACCTTCCTCTGTTTTCAATAAAGATGGTGGACCTCTCAGCTGTCTAACTGATTCAACAAGTTTAATAGTTTAAGGAGTAGGTATTTGTGTTTGCTGAGTCATTTGAGATTCTAATTCGATAATTTTCTTTATTAATGTCTGGTTTTCAGTTTTTTGCTATGCCTGTGCGTCTTGAAATATTTTTTGTATATCTGCTAAGGAAATCCCTTGCTGTTGAGGTATGTTATTGGAAATAGCAGGAGGGGCTGGTGTATAATTAAGATACAATGGCAGTGGTCCTAATACTCTATGACATAATTTAAGTTCTGCTAAACTGTCAAGAATATCATTAATAGCCCTGTGCTGACCAATCCTATAAATTTCCTCCTTTATATCATCTCTTACTCCAAACATAAATTGTGTTTTCTTTTGCGCTGGAGTATAACCCAATTGATCTCTATACTTTAGTATTTTTGCCCAATAAGAGGATATACTTTTATGTACTTCTTGTTTTAATGTCCCAATTTCAAACATTCTCAAATATCTATCAGTAGATGGAAAATGATTTTTAATATGATTTAACCTTTGTCCAAATCAGATTTCTGCAAGAATAATAGGAACACCTCCTTTAGCATTTGGTGTAACTGGTATTGTATTGGTTAGTCATCCTCCAGCTATTGTCTAATCTTCATCAAGTCCTCAAACTGGAATAATATCTGCACCTACAAGACCTAATGGAACATTTGGAAAAGATGCGACAGCTCCTGTTATAGCCCCACATTAGCATCATGAATATGAGCTATAGTAGCACTTATATCAGAGTTATCAAATACATTCTGTAACTCCTAGTTTTTGTTTTCAAACTCTCTTCTGTACTACTCTCGCACTTTTTCCTTTACTGATCGGTCTAATATATTGCGAATTCTTGCTTTATCATTTAGACCTGCTAAATGGATATATGTTATAAAATCATCTCTAAACTTTTCATGATTCTGTTCAAAACTGCTTAATTTAGATATTACAAATCCCTTCAGGTAAAGCCATATTTATTTGATTTAGTAGATTATTCTATAGCGTTAAAATTTGTTCTCACAAATTTAAATATTCTGCTAAGCATCATAGGTCTTATTCTTCTATTTCTCATATTGCTCATAGAGCCTATCTCGATTATACTCTAATAAACCTATATTCCTATTGTACTAGTACAACTGGTGAACATTTCGCTGATATAGTAGTTGTAATGCAAACTTTTCCTATAGTAATACACTAATACGGGTTTGCTTCCCTGTTATATTGCCTAACATTCTATTTACTTGACTTTGAGCATTAGCCTGTAACTGTTGAAGATCACCAACAACTCTATCTATCACTCCTTTAGCAAGATCTTTTTGCGTAATAGCAAGATTTCGCTTAGCCTCTGCATTATAACGCTTTCTTTGCTCACGGACTAAATCCTGATGCAAATTATTCTCTTTTCAGCGTATCTGTCTTGTTGCTCTTTTTATTTGATCTGCTAAGATTTCTCTACCCATTATTAGATTATCTATATAACTATCTATAGCATTTGCTAGTTCTATGATTGTGACCATATTATTATCAGAATTATATAAGTCTGGAGAATTACCCCACTCTGAAGAATTTTTTTGTAATGAGATGATTCTGATCTTATATCGCAGATTTTTAACCTGCTCTCAGATTCTACTAACTGCTTTTCTAAGGTAGAGATATATTTTTTTTTATCTTGCATATCCTTTCTAACTTGATATAGCTGACTTTTTAGGCTGGATATTTCAGATTTTAACTCTACTATCTCTTCTTTCAAAGTATTTTTAAGGTGTTCTATCTTTCTATTAAGATCTTGAATTTCTTGCTTACACTGAAAATAATCTCGCTCTAATTGATTAATTCGTTTCTCATTCTGGTAATTAATATCTACCTCTGTCTGCAATACATCTCGAAGATATGAGTTATCCTCTTCCAGCTCAGCTTTATATTCTTCACATGTTCTTTTCTGTTTTGAGTGAGGTCTGTAAAATGACATTCTTTTTTTTCGTGATTATAAAAGAGAATGGAAGAACTCTTGATTTATATCGATTCTCAAAAAGCATGAGACTTAGATTGGGATCTTGCTTTACAGAAACTTTATTACAGATTTGAGGGATATTATCAGACTGCTGAAAAAATGCAAATGGCTTGTAAGAATGCTGAATATAGGTTTGCTTTAACTTTTATAAAAAATTAGCTTAACAAACAGGCCTTATATCAGATTCACAAGCCTCAACCTAAATATATTCCTTAAGCATCTTTTAGTAATATTACTATACCTATAAAAGTTATTCAAGCTGATTTATGCTATATGCCTTATGATCAAATTAGAAATAAAACTTACAAATTCGCACTTAATTGTGTAGATATTGCTACCTGTACTAAATGAACATATCTTTTAACTAAACGTGATTCTGCTAGCGTAGCTAAAAGATTTGAGAAACTTTTTAAATCTTGAATATGCTCAATTGACTAGTCTAAAGTTAAAGTTTTAATAGTAGATAAAGGCGTTGAATTCTAAGATAATGTTATAATATTAATGAATAAACATGATATCCAAATTCAAATAGCTAATTCTAAAGAATCTATGGGTATTACTGAGAAATTTAATCGTACACTACAAGAGTGGATATTCTTTATTCAAAATAAGATTACCTTCTACTGAGCGCTGTCAAGCTTGGGTAAAAAACCTTCCAATTTTTCTTATAGAGCTTGATAATTCTGTAACTCGTCTTCTGGGTATTTCTCCTGCTAAAGCTCAAAAAAAAGAATGTCTTTGCTAAAGCTTCTAAACTACAAAAAGGACCTATTAGATTTAATGAGCCTAGATTATCCCATGATATCTTAGTAAGATATTTGCTTAATCCTGGTGAATTAGAAGGTGAGAGATGACATGCAATTGATTGTAATTGGTCTTTCCAAATTTATCATATTCATGAATCTCTAGTGCAAAAAAATCAGCTGGTCTTATATTGGCTAATAGATAATGAGAGCAATGGCCTGAAAAGATCCTTTATAAAAAAAAAGCTTCAAATCATACCTCCTGACACAGAATTATCGCTACAATAGGTGCTCACAAATTAGATTTCTAATTCATGAAGTTTAAGTATTTTGTTTACTCCTTCTGTAGATCTTTTTGTACAACCTCTTCTTGGTTTGCGAATAAGAGATATAATTTATATAATTTTTCAAGACTCTAATACACTTCTTCATTATACCAGTCTTTAAAGTCTGCCATTTTTTTATTATAAATTTTCTCATTTGGAGCTCGTTGCTTTGCTACATATCTGCAATGATTATCTGAGTCCCTTTTATGTTGCATTGTTTTCAAATAGCCCACATATGTTAATCCTATTTTATCATATTTTTTCGTATCTTGGCTATATGTTACTTTAATTACCTCAACTAATGCTGATTTGATATCTTTATAGTTAACCATTTTGTAAAAGTATTGAATGTTTGTATTAATATAACAAAAACTTTCGTTTAAAATAAAATATTTATTTCCCTCTTTTCAGAAAAAATAATTAATATAGTGTATTTTTTTATTATATAAACTTATTCTTTGGTTTATAAAATCACTTTGCAGTTGTAAAACAGTAAGAAGGCATGATAGGTGAATATTATTGCAATTATTTACTCATGACTGGATATATCTGTAAGCGAACTTGTCATCGACCTGAAGGGTATTTTGAACATTGGAAAGCTAAATCTCGCTTTTCCTGTAAGGTTTGTGACAAGCCAACTAGCTCTGAACTTGACCTTTATAGAAAGCATTCTGATACCTATTATGTAACCCAATATTTTAATAGGCTTTGGGCTAAAGTTAATACTGATGATTTAATTCAAATGAAAATTGATAAATTGCTTCTAGAGCTATCAGTAGACAAAACTAAAGAAGCAGAAGAGCAGGGTTCACAACAGATCGAAGCACTATAGGTGATTAACACTATCGTTCTAATCATGGACGAAGAATTAGAAGATACTAAAGTTGAAGCTCTAATTTTCGAATCTGATGATGAGGTTACAATTCTTCAATCTAGAATCGTTACTTTTGGTAATATTTCTAAAGCTCAGATTTATGACTCAGATGGTGAGAATATGGGTATTGACCCCTTTAGAGATTAGTAAAGCTAAATTATCTTGACTGATAAGTTTTTATTTACATCTTGCTAACCGATTTTTTTTTACATTATACTAACCTTTTTTTACATCATACTATTCTGATTTTTTTTTAAACTATGATATCCTTTTTTTTACCTAAGGTCTCCTCGCTCTTCTTACTTAGTCTACTTAGGTGAAAATTTTTTACTTTGCTAGATGTATTTTTTTCAAAAAAGTCTAGCTAAAATGCTTTGAAAATAAGATTGAGACGTATTTTGATAATTATCATTCTTAAGCTTCTAGGTGAAAATAAAGTAATCTGCTTAGATGTAGATTTTTTACTTTACTAGATGATAATGAATCCCTTTTAGAATTAATTCTAGAATAGCATAAATATTATTATACATAGAAGATTTGTAGAAACTCTATGAACTTGACTTCAAACCTTTAGTTCTTGCCAATCTCGCATCATTTTGAAGCTAAACAGAATGGTATATTTTTTTTGCTATATTATTTGGGATTAAAATTAGGCTAGAAAGGCTATAAGAGATTGTTTTATTCTTAGTATCCTGCAGAGTATTTTAATGTCAAATTTAATACCAAATATTTTGGATAGCGGAAAAAGCTTAAATTTGGGCTAGAGTTTAAAATTCAATAGTAGATTCTTATAGTTAGAAGGCTTCGAAAATAAGATTGAGACATATTTTGATAATTATCATTCTTAGGCTCCCAGGTAAAAATAAATCAGTCTGCACACCCTTCCTGCTAGGTGTAAATTTTTATTATGTCAGAATTATAATCAGAAAGGCGCACAAAGGCAAGAAAACAAATTAGTAATTTTAATAAGTAAGAGGGGCTAGAGAACATTATTTGTCAACTATCATTCTTAAAGTTCTCAGGTGAAAATAACATGATCTATAAACGCTTCTCATTTAGTGTAAATTTTTATTATGTCAGAATTATAATTAAGAAGGCGTGCGAAGGTAAGAAAACAAATTAGTAATTTCATTGAGCAAGAGGGCTAGAATACGTTTTAAGAATACTAATTTTATTGATATACTAGAACTATATTTTGAGAGCCCTAGAACGGTGAAATTAATAAGTATTTATTTTAGTAGCAGAAAAGGTTGGAATTACGAATTTTGATAACTATCATTATTAGGCTCTCAAGTAAAAATAAATCAGTCTACACGCTCTTTTTACTGCTTCCTATCTAACTATCACAATTTGTAAGGATTGCACGTTAACAATAATAATTGTTTTTTTATCACTAATTCTATGTATTTCAAAATAGATTTTGAAAAATAAATATATAGTATATAAAAAAAATATATTTTTTTAATAATCTTCTATATGTTTTTCTATATTATATTGTATCTAGTAATCATATGAAGATAAAATATAGCTCATTAGAATTATCTTATTAAGATAAATTGAATAGTAATAAATTTATATTTTTAAGTGTAAAACTTATATAATTATGAGATAAAGTGCTAAATAAATTAGCAGTGTTTATTGACGTTTATTACACATGATATTTTATGATATTTTTTTATATCTAGTAATCACAGAAAAATAAATTATAGCTTATTAAATTCATCTTATTAAGATGAATCTAATGATACTAAATTCATATTCCTAGATGCAAAACTCATAAAATTATGAAGTTATAAAAAATTGTCAGTTTTTTCTATCACAACTGTATTTGTTATTTGAGATTTATAATAACATTAGTAATAAGCGTTTTGAATGACTACCTAATATCAGGATATAGTCTTATATAATTAAATCTTTATTATTAAAATTATATCTGCAATATTTTTATGAATCAGAATAAAGTATAGGTTGAGTTACTTTTAAAATCTAGATAGTAGAGAATTATCGAAAAGGAACTTGATCTTTCTATTATGATTCCTAATTTTTTTGAAAGATGTAATAATTAATGATTCAAATTATATAAACTTAAAAGTGAGAAGCTAATTAACTTAAAGATATTGATATTTTAAGTTTAGTTTAAAGTAATAATAATCTGAAAAGTGTTTTATATTAGTATAATCTTTTAAAAAAAATTGATAAAGTCAATAAATAGGCATGTTATTAAAGTTAATAATATATAAAATAAAGGAATGTGATCAAATAATAGTTGTAATAGTAGAAAAAGAAGAGCAAATTTAGTTATACAGTCAGCCTTATTATTATATACAACTATTTTGAGATAATAATGAAAATTTAATGTTTTTAATAATTTTGAAAATAATAAACCAAAAAATAAAAAAAGAAATTTTGAATAAAAAAAAAGGATAAATAAGAGCTTTAGTTTTAATTATATAATTATAAATATAAATAAGGGTTAGACTATTTGTATTAATAGTAATTTGGGATAAAAAAGATAAATTATGAGGACAAATATAAGAGCAAATATTTTAGTATTAGTAAAGTTAGCCTAGATAGTAGGAATAGTAATTAAAAATTCTATATTAAGAGAATTATATATCAGATAAAAAGCTGAGTTTAAATAAGATGATGAGGAAGAAGAAATAAATTTATAAGAGCTATCAGTATAAAAATTAAGAGATTTTTCTAATTGGAGTAAATTATAAAAATTTATTAATGATAAAGTAAAACTATTATCTGAAAATAAATTAAAAATACTTACAAAAAAAGAAGTATTAATAATTATATTAGATAAAATAACAAGTGATCAGACTGTAAAGTAATATTATTTTACTTGATCAATTAATGTTCATATATTTTTTTTGAAAGGTAAAGTTTTTTATCATTGACTAATGTAAATAAGTTAATTTAATTATTTGCAATAAATTATTATCAACTAGATTAGTATAAGATAAATTTATTATTTTAGCGTTAAAAATTCTATAAGGATTTAATTGATTTTAATATATATCCAGAACATGAAATAAAAATATTTTATTTTTTTAAAATAGATTATAGATCTAGATTAAGTATTATTATTTATATAGGATTATAAAGCAATTTTATTAGAAATGAGTCTTGATTTAAAAGCTTTTTTAATAATGTTTTATTTTGAATATGAAAAGTTATCATAATTCTACTCTAGTAGAATTCAAAGAGTAACCTAAAGGTATCTTTTATTAGATTCATCAAAAAAGCTATTATAATAAACCATTGTGAAGAAAAATCTTTAATAATAAATTGGTTTTTAAGTCTATTAAAATATACAGGATTTTCAAATACTATAAACTGTAAAAGTTTAAATTATTTAGGAGTAATATCTTTTATACTGATCTTGGTTTTAAAGGTGATGTCATAAAAATTCATTAAGTATAACTCTTGATTAATAATTTGTTTTAAGAATAAGACTCAAATACATTTAAATAAAAAAATCTAATTCTTTTTTCATAGTATTAATGATTATATAAGAGTAGAATTACCTTTTATAAGAAAATCAGCAAAAGTCAAAGAAGTTCTATTTATTGAAAAGAGAACTTATAAATAAAGAGTAAGTATATTACATAAGAAGTTATTATATCTTAAATTATAAAGATATGCAGGTTGATAAATAATTAGATTGTCATACAACTAAAAGTATTATTGAATTTATTTAAGATAGATTTTTGTTGTTAAAAATAATAAAAATTTGTTGGGTTACCATTAATAATTAAAATAAAATATTATAATTTTAAATATAATATATTGGAAAAAAATATCATTAAAACTAAAAGAGAGCTTATTATGTAAGATACTATTAAAGATGTTTTTGTTAAATCTAAGTTTATGTTTGAGAAAAATCTAATATGAGAAATTATAATGTAATATTTTTTTAAAGAGAAGAATATCAATTAAGAATAGTATTTGAGTTAAAAAATAAGGATATAATTAAATAAATATTTTAATTGTTTATCAATTAGGGGTTTGAATTTTAATTTTAAAATAAAATCAGATATTTTTTTATAAATTTATTGTTTAATAAAATTCTTGTTATAAAGTACTAAAATCTAAATATTCAAATATCTAATAGAGTTATAATATTTTTTTGTTAGGATGATTTAGATATGAACTGTAAAATGAGATATTAATAGTTGTAAATTCAAATATAAGAATAAAGAATTTTTCTATATTGAATTATATAGAATTGAAGTCAAAAAAGGATTAAGTAATATCAAAGATTTTTTTTATTTTGAATGATTATCAGTAATTCAGATAGTATTATTTATGTATATTAAATTAAGTATAGAGATAGAATACTCTTTAGAGTGTTATTATTGATATCAGATAATCAAGACATATTCATATTATAATTAAAATTAAATTTTTACATATGTGATAAAAGGAAATCATAATAAATAACTCATAAAAAAGGAGAAATTATTTCTTCTTAATTAATATTAACTAATATGTTTTAAAATTCAGTATTATCATAAGTAGTAAAAATAGAATTATTGTGATTGAGAAATAAATTAGTAATCAAGATGATAAAATAAGTTGGGATTTTGAGTCTTTTCATTGCTTTTTTCAGCATATAAATATTAATATGATCATTAGTTTTATACATATTTTAGAATAAAATATATAGGTCTAACTTTTGATATTCTGGTATGTATTTTTAGATAATGATATTTTAAATTATTATTAATAATATGAATAGGTCAATTGTTGATTAATGAGATAATCCAGCAAAGTTAAGAAAATCTTTGATCATGTTATTTCTTATTAGAGCATTTTATAATCTCTAGTTCAAAAGCTTAATAAATGCTTTTCTGCAATTTTTAATAATATTATTAGACGAGTATTATTAAGCTGGTAATTTTAATATTTAAGTTTTAATATAAAATAAATGTAAGTTAAATTTTATTGAACTAATGTATATCTATTAAATAAATATGCACAAATAATATTATAAAAAAAATTCTTGTATTTAGAATCTAGTTTTTTTTAATATTTTGTTAAAAATCTTTGATAAATCAGCAGTTTTATAATTAGAAAGAAGTTTGAAAATATTATTCTAATTATCAATTAATAACAGATCTAAAAGAAAATTATAAGAATCATCTAAAATGTCATCTATAGGATCATAATGAGATTTCTATTAGGGTCAGTTAAGAAAAAATTCAATAGTATTAGAAATCGTAATATTCTTATTAATTAAATTAGTAATAAATTAAAAATGATTTGAAGTATGATATTTGATAGCAACTGGATCAAAAATTAAATATTAATTAGAAATATCAAAGTCTAATAATAATCTATCTAAGCTAATAAATTTATAATTCTTTTCGAAATAAAAATTTATTATCTTTATAAAAACATCTTTAAAATTATAAATACATTATTAAATAAAATGACAGATTTTATCATTATTTTCTATTTTACTAATAGCAAGTTGTTTTGCTTGCATATATAATAATAAATATTTATTATCAAAATATGCATCAATAAAGATAAAGGAAATATTATGTTTAGTTGCAGATTTGAATATAAACTGATAGTCTGTAGGCAAAATTGAAAAGGAATTAGAGAAGTGAACATAATGAAGAAGGAAAATATGGTATGTATTTTGCATTAATAATACAATTTATTAAGTTTTCAATTAGTTTGTAATTTAATAAATTTAGATATAAATATAATGAATTATAGGAAGCTGTAAAAGTTTGTTTAGAAATACTATATGTTTATTAGTTAAGGTAATGACAATTTGAGTAAAAAATTTTCAAGCATCATTAATACAAGAATTTGAAAAACATAGATCTTAAATGGTGATATCTTTAAAAGTTTAGTTCTGTTTAAGAAGCAGATCCATTTTATTAGCAAAGAGATCTCATTACAAAAAAATAGTTTTATTATATAAAAAAACTTGTTTTGTGATTTTGTATTATTTTTGATAGCTAAAGAAGTTTGAGAAAAGAAATTCTTTTTAATAAATTTATTGATGCAAAAATATAATTAATATATAATATAGAATTAGTTAAGAACTAATAAAAAATAGGAGAGTAGAGGTAATAGTATAAATGAAATTAAGATTAAGAATATTATATAAGAAGAATTGCAACTTATTTTAGATATGTGATTTATAATTTCTACTAATATTAATATTAAAGTTTACTTATTAATATTATATAAAAATTTAATTTAATACTATTAACAAAAATATTTAATAATTTTTTTTGAATTTATAAATAATATTAGAAGTTCTTTTATCTTTATATGAGACTAACAAATAAACTTAGATAACACGAAATTTGAATTTGTTTTTAAATTGAAAATTAAGATAAATAATATGATCAAAAAAAAATTTAATTAAAAATATGAATACATAAATTATTATAAATGAGAAGTCTTATATTTTGACAGTTTTGTAAACTATTTATTGAATAAAAAATACTGAAAAGACTTATTATATAAATTTTATTAAGGTGGTAAGATTGTAAAAAAGTAAGATATATTTTACTTAAACTGTAATATAATATTAGGAGAATAATTTCTAATATTAAGCATAATTAATAAAATTAAGTTTAGATTATTGATGATATTTGTAAAGAATTATTTGAATAAAAATTATTAATATGAGAAGTTGTAGAGAATAATCTTATATTTTAGTTTTGAAATTGTATACTCATTTAAATGGATTGAAAAGATAGATTCTAATTTTAAACTGAGAATTAGAAAGATAAAGTCTAAAGTTGTTGATTTTATCTAGAGAATGAGAAATGTTAATGAAGTTTGAAAAGAATTTTAAAATAATTAGTAAAAGGTCAGAAGAATCAACAATACTAT